AAGTTTTTAGCAATGCATATTACTAATCAAAATTTAAGTTTTAATATATTTACAGTAGGAAATTTACTAAATATCTTTATGGAACATGATCTTTACTTAATATCCTAATGATTTTTGACAAAAGAAAATTCAATAATTTTGACCCTTACAATGTATTTTTGGCTATTGCTACAAATATACCCCAGCGACTTAAGACTGGTTTTGTGCTCCAGGGTCATATATTACAACCTGGGCTCTGGACCCAGTTCAAGGAACGAAAACGAAAACCGGAAACAGAAACGAAATCAAATTTTATAGTTCCGAACAGAATCGAAAATTTGAATTGGCCATTAACCAGTTAATAACGTTATTTTATCGTTCCATTTAGAAATTTGCTATCAACCAATAACGAATTAAATGGCAATGCACCGGCGTTAGAGTTTATCCGAGGATAGTGTAAACCTGCATCGCTTATGTGAACGGAGAAAACAGCATAAAACTATAGGCTTACATAAAAAGGAATATATAGGCACACACAAAATATATTTCACTTAAATCATTGACAGATTAACAAAACGAAAGAAAAAAGTGTGCTGAGTTACGGTTCACTGTGACGTGTTTCAAAGTTCTCGGAAAGGAAAGCGAGATGGCAGAAAGTAGTTTTCTTTATTTTGCAAAAGCTTGACAGTTTTAAATGAAGTCTTGCTTCTATCTGTATAACCAACCAGCGTTGGCATGATATCGCGCCGGCGCCTCACACGCACACAGACACAACATATTTTGCGACATTGCAGCCTGTTCATTATCAAAATAAAATACAGTTAAAGAAACAAATAAAAAGTTACACTGCTCCGTTGTACAATCTGTTGCATTCAGCGAGCACCGCCTCACTGTGCTGATATAGCCGATGTAAAGGATGATGTTTTACGTCGATGAACGTACAAAGCCTAGCCTATAATAAATCATATTTTAGCATTCAGATATGTCGCGAATACGGAAACATGTGGATTTGTGCCGAATGAGAGGGGTAGGCATCATTTTCACCTTAAATTAATTTGTTTTTGGATTGACGTTTTTATAGCCTAAACGCATAGCCTTAACTTTAGAGGATTTGTTGTGGAGAGAAACTAACTGTGTTTATAATGTTTGTAAACATTTTGCTTTACCGGCATTTAAGCCTACATTATTTCTGAATGTAATAGGGCTATAAAATGCTACGTGAGCCTATACGTGACTTTTTTTCACTCTCAAAACGTTTTTTAACAATGCAGCAAACATTTTTAAATATCTTAAAAAATACTTTAATGTCTTTAAAGTGTTAATAGATTTTTTGTTTTGTTTAGTAGCCTACATTTGTCCAAAATCTAGAAAAGATGATGCTTTATTGTCTGTGACTAAGCGCAGCGGATTAAGATCGCAGATCTCTTCCAGTTTTTTTTTCTTTTTGAGTAAAGAAAACGCTATACTTTATTATTATTATTATTATAGGCAAAAAAAAAATTTGTTTAAAAAAAATAACGTTATTAACCAGTATTTCTTCTACTCAAACCGGTTTCGGAATGGTAATAATACAGAGGAACGCAGGAACAGAAACGTTAAAATATCGATTCTGCTCGGAGTGAACTGATTGATTTTTGAACCGATTTTTCCGTTTTCAAGCCCTGATTACAACCCATTAATACTTAATTTTTATTTATTTTTATCTTAAATAAATGTTTAAGATAGATAGATAGATAGATAGATAGATTTTAATGTATAAAAACAATTAAAAGTATTAATTCTATTTTAATTAATATACATATATATTATAAAAAACATATACAATTTATAAACCTAAATAGTTTAGTTTTTTAAAAGAATGGTAAACGTTAACAATAATTATTATTATTTTAGTTATTACAATTAAATTATTAATTGTATCTAGTGCTACAATTATTATTAATTACATTAAAATATATTAATTAAATGTATAAGTGACAATTAAATATATTTTACTAATTACAATAAGTGTTTGTGTGAGAGAGAGAGAGATAATGTGTGTGTGTGTGAGAGAGAGTGTGTGTATGTGTGTGTGTGTGTGTGTGTGTGTGTCGGGACCCACACATGAAAAGCACACTCATTCTACATCATTACAGTACTAAAGGAAAGACTGCTGTGATTCGGACTGATCATCATGTGCGTTTCACGCTTTGCATTTGTTTTCGTGTGATGTATTCATCACTAATGTTTTGATTTAAACGTGTCACTGAGGTTACATTATCTACAGACAGATACATAGATGAAGGGTTTTTGACGAGAATGAGTTGTGCTAGCTGTGAAATCATCAATTAAAATGAGTTGAACATTAAATTGTTAATTCACAGCTTTTTATATATATAAAAATAAAACAATAGAAATCTTATTAAAAACTGATATTTAAATTAGTTAAGAGTTGAACGTTAAATTGTTACATTGTAAAACTGTATTCCAGCATTAGATACGTCAGAGCTTTAAAAAAAAAAAAACGTAAAATAATAAATAATCATCATAAGCATAATCATAGCCATAAATCATTAGTTAAAAAAACATTAAATTGTTCAATTCTAAGTATTTTCTAGCATTCAGCTTTTTTGTAAAGATAACAATGAAATAAATAATAGAAATCTTGCTAAAAATAGACATTGAAAACAGTTGAACAAATCAAATTGATACTTGAACATTAATATATGTTAAATTGTAACACTGTATTCCAGCATTAGCTAGATCAGCAATTCGCAAAAACTTAAAATAATAAAAATATTGATTTAAAATAGAGATTTAAAATAATTAGTTGAACAAACTTTTAAAATTATAACACCGTTTTCCAGCACTGAGCTGTTTCATAAAGACAACTTAATGAAATAATAAATAATAAAAGCTAAAGAAAATTACAAACAAAAAAACTGATAAAAATAGTTAAAATAGTTAGCAGAAAAAAAGTCCTTGCCTTACAAAGAAGTACTGTGATTGTACTATGGTACTGTGATAGCATCACATTTTACAACAAACAAAATAAAACTCAATTTAAAATAAATATAATGATTTCCTTAATATCTAATCATGCACATGTTTTGTCTTTAAACCCAAACCAGTGATTTTTGGATGAATTTCACATTTGTAAAACACAACTGGATTAAACTATAGACGTAAAGCTGTGCATTAACTAGCAGTGGAGATCAGTTACAGCAGGTTTGTGTCTTACCTGTTATCAATGATGTATCCATTCTGTGAGGACTGTAACGAAAAATTAAAAGGTATGAACATTTACAAAGTATAAAAACAACAACAGAGCAGAATAAAATAAAACAGTACAATAAAAACAACTTCTGCAATTAAAACGAATCACTAAGACATTTATTGTGCATTCTGACGTATTAATTTTTTGCACTGACCTAGGAGAAAAATTAGCAAGTTTAAACATGGTTTCATGAATTCTGATTGAATTTAAGGATCCTGCAGAGCTGTCTATAGTGTTATTGTGCTTTTTTTGTAAAGCTGGGACAATAAATCGATGCATCGCGTTTCGTGGATCGATTCTGAGATTTCCCGAATGCATCGTGATTCTCTCTGGAATCGATTCTGAGCTTAGTTTTTAACAGCAGATGGCGCTCTAGGATAGTTTTTAACCACACACTCAAATGCTCACGAAGAAGAGCGCTTGTGCGTTCGGCTGAGTAATGTAAGAGGTTAAATGTACTTGCACATCTGCTTTTATGATGCGAGATAAGCGTAAACACGGCCCACTGTGAACATCCTTGTAATTCGCTTCAACCT